ATTACACTTATGGAGCACCTAATTATCTGTCCACAGATTTTTAGGCCTCCAACAAACAGAACAACAACTAATTACAAGTAATTTGTCTAACTAAACTTCTACATTTCTGAGCTTTCTTTGACTGCTGAAGTAATTCTATCATTTCTACCACTTCTCTCTTAATTTGTGTAACTACCTCTGCTCTATTTACAGTTCTTCCCTGAAAAATTTTAACATTCCTAGCTCTCCGTGTATGGTATATCACTGTTATGTTCACTGCAGCTATCACTTCCTTTTTGAATTGTTTCCAATGCTTCCTTTTGATCTGTTCCAGCATTTGTTTGATACCTGTAATTTGCACTGCATGTCCAAGGCACAGATTTAACTCTTGCCTTACTTCATTAATCCAGCTACATTTAACAAACAGATGGTCCTGTGATTCCAACGTGTCCTTATTACACAAATTACAGTTAATGTTTCCAACCTGTAATTGCGTTCCAATCATCCTGTCCTTAGTTAGCAGCCTCCCAAGTGTTGCAAGCCAACCAATAAACCTGTGTTTGGGTTGTGCTACTGCTGTCCATATTAAATCTGCAACCTTCATCTTCTGTTGTCGACCAATTATTGCAAGATAGCTTTGAGTAATTGAGTAACTCCCTTCTGAAGTTAATGTATATCTGCCCTGGGAGTACCATTCCTTCATCAGTTCTTTAGTTGAGTTTAGCTTTCTCCAATACCAGCTACTATCTATTGGAGGTGTATGAGCCCAATGTCATGATCAGATTTCATATATACCCCATGATCCCACCTTACCCATATTCCTTATTCACAACCAGCTGCCATATTAGTTTATCTACTGATGCTATATTCCATTCCTTACAACCTTTGATATTTAGATCCCCCAAGTTCTTTGGACAACACACCTTGTCCCACGCAACCAGAGCCATTTTCTTCTGTCCCTCCTTTTTCCCCCCATAGATACTCCCTACATAGCTTATCAACTCCTCTCACCACACTTTATGGTAAAATAAAAACATTCCCCCCGAAGCTATGTATAGAGAAGAATACAGCATTAACTATTTGAAGCCTTCCAGCATATGATAATTGCTTAGAATATGTAACATTTATTCTGTGAGTGATCTTCCCAATCAACATTTGACAATCCATCTTGTTCCATTTCCTAGGAGATAGAGGCAGCCCCAAGTATTTGATAGGAAATGTCCCAGCAGTGAAGCTTGTTCTTCTCAACAGTTGATCTTTGATATCATCTCCAACCCCTGCTACAAAGATGCTTGATTTTTCCATATTTGCAATCAAAACAGATACCTTACTGAAGTGATCAAGGGCTTCCATTACTCTATTGACTGAGCTTGTATTTCCCTAGCAGAATATCATCAAATCATCAGCAAATATAAGATGTGTCAGCTTGATTTCTTTACACATTGGATGGAACCTGAAATCAGGTAGTCTAGTGATTGTCCTTAAAGTTCTAGAAAGGTATTCCATTACAAGAACAAATAGCAATGGAGAAATTAGATCTCCTTGCCTCAACCCTCTCTTTCCAGCAAAGTAACCATGCCCTTCACCATTAACTTTAACAGTGAACATAGTAGTAGAAACACATACCATGATCCATTGTATGAACTTATCTAGAAATCCATACCCTCTTAGAGCTTCCTCCAAAAACTCCCAGCTCACCATATCATATGCCTTTCTAAGGTCTACTTTCATTAAACATCTAGGAGTTATCGTCCTATTGTAGTGCCTTAGTAAGTCATGGCATATTGACACATTATGCATCATGGACCTTCCTTGTACAAACACTGACTGATTATCTGCTACTATATGACTAACTGCTGGTTTTATCCTGGAACAGATCATTTTAGATATACACTTATATAGAACATTACAGCAGGAGATTGGCTTGTATTGACCTGTATTTTCTGGAACTTCCACTTTAGGTATCAAGGCAATGTTAGTGGCATTTATTTGCCTGAGCATGTTGCCATTCTGAAAAAACTCCAGGACCACCTCAGTTATATCTCTTCCACTATTGGCCATGCTGCTTTGTAAAATCCACTCCCAAATCCATCAGGACCAGGACTCTTATTATTATCAATCTGAAACACAACCTGCTTTACTTCTCTTTCCAAAAATGGTTGCATTATTTCTTGTTGCTGAGCTTCTGATAGCCTGTTCCCATTTCTGATTATACTACTAAAAGCTCTCACCCTTTCATTTGCTTTCCTCCCTAATAAATTTCCATAGTAATCAACAAATATACCAGCTATTGTATCAGGATCTGTTTGCCAAAGACCAGAGCTGTCCTTGAGCTGGGTAATTGCCTGCTTCAGTTTTCTATGCTTGATTACTGAGTGGAAGTATTTAGTATTATCATCTCCCAATCTAATCCATTTTGCTTTACTCCTTTGTTGTAAGTACGTTTCAGCTATGTGAGATGATTGCCTGAACTTTTGATATGCACTAATTTCAGCTTGTTGACATTCCACATTAGTAGGACATCTCTGCAGCTGAACTTGGATCTGCTTTAGTGTGTTCCTATCCTCTTTTGCTTCAGTCACTATGTTATGAAAAGCCTGTGTGTTTAAGGTTTTTAATCCCCTCTTTAACATCTTCAGCCTTTTTACCACTGTAAACATTTTGCATCCTTCCACATTAGAGTTCCAACCCTCTTTGACTATGCTCATGAATTGTGGATGTTGTGTCCACACATTACCAAATTGAAAAGATCTCCTACTCCTCTGCCTCTCCTCTGTAAAAGTCACGTTTGCAGGACAATGATCACTAATTCCTTCGGTTAAAAATCTTGCATTGCATTCTGGCATGGTATCAAACCACTGCTCATTAATAAAAATCCAATCAATTTTTGAGAATATTCTGTGCTCTTCATGTTTATCACTCCAAGTGTGTCTATTTCCTTGTGCAGGTAGTTCCATCAATCCACACTCCCCTACACAATTATAGAAATCCACCACTTCAGCCATGTCACTTCATTTCCTCCTATTATATTCTCTGCATTCAGAACTGAATTAAAATCGCCTATTACCATCCATGGTTTACTACATCCTCTACTGTGAGTGGTTAAATCTTCTCACAATCCCTTCCTCTCCTCTTTTGTATTAAAAGCATATACATAGGTTACCTCAAAAGATAGTTGAAGAGAAACATACAGTGCTTCACAGGTTACTAGTTGAGCAGTCTTTTGCCTAGGTAATATCTGGTAGTAATCTGGCCTCCAGGTGATCCAGATTCTCCCATTGTAATGACAGTAGAGATTTGTTACAAACTTCCATCCAGCAAACATCTTCTCTGCTACCTGCTCCATCCTTTCTTTTTTAATTTTTGTTTCCAGTAGGCCTATTAAACCTACTCTTTCCTCATTGCAAAGGAGCTTAATCTCCTTTTGCTTATTAGGAGCATTAAGCCCCCTAGTGTTCCAGCTTAGTAGACTAACCATCCCCATTGTGTGGGATAATTAGGCCACCCACACTGCTTCCTTCTCCCCTCCCCCCCCCCCCCCTCCTTTGACAGATTGAGGCCCTCCTGCTTATTCAGAATCTGTAATGAATTGGATTTCTCCATTTGTTCCTTCTGTCTTACCACAATCTTACCACAATCCTGCAGTAATCCTTATGTCATTTACATTTGTTTTCTGAGCTTCATGGATCTTCTCACTTTGCATTTGACCTTGCTTCTCCACCTAAGTGTCTGTTGTCTGTTCTTTGGTCATTTGTTCATTCTTTGGAGCTTTCTTCTTGAGCCTGCATACTGTTCTTCGTGTCCATACTTTAAGCAATGGGTACAAAAAGTTGGCTTCCAGTCATAGTTAACTCTTTGCTCTATTAGTTTACCCTTCTCATTCCTAATCATCACCACATCAGGTAGTTTAGCATCCATTTCAACCTCCACTAACAGTCTAGCAAAATTCAACCCAATCCTTTTTTCTGTGTTTTGGTCAACAATTACAGGTTTCCCAATCAGGCTCCCTATCTTACTTAGCCTTTTTGGACTCCAATATTTGAAGTCCAATCCTCGCAATTTGATCCAAATTGGTACTGTTAATAGTTCCTCACGAGTGAACTCCAATTCAGGTGTCCAGGCTTTGACAATGAGAGGTTTGTTATCAAAGTGATAGATTCCACCCTCAATTACCTCCTGTTTTCCTATTGCAGAGTCAAATCGAACAACAATTACCCCATTTTTTAACATTGCAATCCTATCTATGTCATGTTTACCCCACAACCTCTGTATGTAGCCTTGAATTATAGCAAACGGTGGATGAGCCCCAAGCACATAGCAGACCACGGCATTTCTCCAGTACTCAATCTCTGTACTAATATCCTCCAACTCAATTTCAACAAAAGTAGACTCACCTATTGATTTAGGTTGGACAAACTCAAATTTGTACCCAGCGTTTGATATTTTGTAATATCAAAATTGTCCCACACTGAACTCTTCTTCCCCTGCTCTTTGTTCATCTCATCGACCTCATCGGCCCATGATTTCCTTCCAGTGCTCACATGCACCGTTGGATTACTGCTTGTTGACATTTGCTGGACTTCATCCCATACTTGAATTGCTTCAATCTGCTTAAGTTTCTCATTTTTCGAAGTTTTTGGTGCTGTTTCATTGACATTAGGGCTCAATTGCTTGTTTCCGAAATTTTCAATTGTTGCTTTCCTTCCTTTAGTCCCTCGTTGAGCGTTACTCTGTGAATCCACTGCTTCCTTCGCCATTAGTGCTTTCTGAGACGGGATACGAGCTCTCTTACCCATGGTAGGCGCAGGTTAAGCTAACATGCACCGAAAAAGAAGATAGCCATTTCAGAAAAGCTAGACTTTGTTATGTCTGCCTCTAGAAAAAATATTGAAGCATGCAAGAAAGATAATTTTTCTTCTGAGAACATGGAAAATAGAACATTGAAAATTGTAAAGAAAATTAGCCATCAAGTGAGCACAATTTAAAAAATAGCTAAAATTGAAAGTAGGACAATCTTGATCTATTCAGTAAACTTTCTTTTTCCGATAACGATAGTGTCCGAACAGCTACACCTCAACTATTACACCATTGAAAACCTGCTACCTCCCCCAACACTAAGTACAAGATAATGCCTAACAACAAATAGAAAGAAATCACTTGACATTTTTTAATCTTTACTAAGTTTTGGAACCCGGTCCCCACTACATGTTCATTGATTTTGCGTAGGTTATGTTCAAAAAACAAACAAACCATTCTATATCTCAATTCAATACATAGGAGGAGATGATTTGTTATCTTGATTCCACCAAACTCTTTACTTCCTCTGTCCCTTGGGCCAGGCAAGCAACAATAAAATTTACCATGATCATATGATAAATAATGGGAACCAATAACCACCCTACTAAAACACAAATCAAAATTGACAGATTAGCTAATATTTTCCCTATATAACTCAAAACCAATACTTAGAAACTACATTTACATTATGATTTGGGCAACTGCCCTTTTTGCGCGACATATTTCCCATATTTCTTCAACACCGCATCTTCTGAAGAAACATCCCATAGCTGCAAATGATAAGCAAAGACAAATTCTCAGTCATTTACAGCCCAAAAACCACAGAAACTAGAGCCGCAACAAACTAATCCTTTCAAAGAGAACACAACTTACCTGCAACTTCCCTTTAGAACCACCAATAGCAAGAAAAAAGGGACAATCATCAGAGAAGGAAACAGAGAAGACAGCTCCCTGATAACAAAATAAAACGAAGTGGTCATCATGATAGTACATCAATCAAAATGTATGATAACCCTCTAAAACCTTGTGTTTTTGAAAGGTTGGAAGAAAAATATGTATCCAATAAATATTCAACCACAAAGATTTGCAAATCACATACGGCTTTTGGATTCCTTGATGCAATACAAGAAGGTTGATTGTTGCTCAAATCCCAAAGTTTAACCTGCAGCACAATAATTAAATTAATCAGTGGAATAGCTCTCATCCCCCGGAATAAATCAAAACTAGGTAATAAGCAGCGAACAGAGACAACAAGAAAGTACCATCTTGTCCGTGGAACCAGTTGCAAGAAGCTGCCCAAAATACACGGAGAAAATGAGTTAGGAAAAACGAATTAAAGGGTAACGCAAAAACAAAAACAAAAAAGGTTTCACATACATTTGGGACTAGAGGATTAAAGGACATCGAGGACACTGCTTTATCATGAGCATGGATGGTGAAACTTGGCTTTGTCGCAGAACTCGAATCAGAACTAGCAGCACGGATATCAAAACTAGTAACTGTACCATTCTCCAAGCTGACCTGAAAGTTTTATGGAACTCTACTCTCGTCAGCAATTCCTAATGTCCAATACACACCCAGATTAAAATCTCCAAGCAGATTTTACAACGGATTTATTCATCCCAACAAAAAAAAACTTTTAGGTCTCATACAGTTATAGGGAACAGAAATTTAGTGATTGGCCAAGGGGAAAAGAATACATGGCAGATTGAATTTATCTAGTTTTTATTTTCATTTTAGTACCATAGGAACTAGGAGACAGATAAATACTTCTATTTTTCTGCACTAAATAAAATCAAGTGTCAAAAAATTCAGCAAGCAAATAGATAAACTAATATGCACATAATTTCAATGTCACCCCCCCCCCCCTCTTTTCCCCCCCGATTCCATAGTGTATTTACCTAACCAACAGACACAATCCCATCCTTAACTTAGTTACCATACTGATGGCCTCATGTTGAGAAAATTATTCACAATCTCCACACTAACGATTCCCGTTACAGAATTAAAGGTACTATCTAATCATGTAGCATACCAAACAAACAAAACCTTGAAAAATAGATTGGGTAAGTCACAAACACAGTGCAAGCACTGACCACAAATGAATGCTCAGAATGTGGATCCCAAGCCAAGCTTTCAACGTCAGCGGAAACTGGAAACTTATATCCACTGTGAGATGGATACCTCACATCCTTCTGCAAGACATGTTGAAAGTTGAATTAGCATCTTAAACTAAGAAGCTAATCCGCAGTCCTAGCTTTCCAAAACAAAAATGGGCAAGAAGGAAGAAGGAGAAAAGCTTATCACCAAGCAAACTGTATGATCGAATGACCCGCTCAGAAGAATCTGTGATGCAAATGGATTCCATGCAACTGCTTGAACCTGACAAAGCGGAGCAAGATGATGAATCTGCTTCTTTCATAATTTTGTAAGCAAGCTGCTGATTGATGTTTTATAAATTATTCAATTTTGATTAGATAGAATTTCAAAGAACAGTAAAAGCATATTGTTTACTTTAACATGCAGAAGAGGTCTCCTACATAACAAAAGACTTTAAGTGTATCGGGGGGTTTTCGGTCCTTGATACAAAACAATATGATGTTTAAACAACATGCTACAAAATTTCGGATTCTACCTTGTCAGTATGGTCGTTCATAGTGACAGTACAGCTTCTGGTATTCACATCCCAAACCTTGACTGATTGATCAGCACTAGCACTGGCAAGCATATTCCTGCGTAGAATGTTGGACAAGACAACATATGAACTTTGACTATACCTCTCTAACGCAAACATCATACACTGATCAATCAGTGATCAATCAGAAATCCACACCTATATTCCTTGTTCCAAGCGAGACCAAGTACTGAATCGGAGTGGCTATCCTTTTTGTATTTGATGGTTTTCTACAAGTAAGAAAAAAAAGTTTTTTTTTAGAATTACCCAAATGGGGCATAAGAAGTAAGTTTTGGGTTCACACAATTATCAAATCGTAAAGACCATCCACCATGCAAACTATCATTCCTTTTCTTTCATTTTCTAAAGAATGAGGTTTGAACACTGGTATTTGGTATGTGTTAAATAACTCTCATAAATATTTGCTGCCATGACAGAAAAACAACAAAATGGTAATTTAAAGGTAGTTTCTCTTTTTTCTTTTGATGGGTGAAGAGGTAGTTTCTCTTCAAAACATATCATTGGTCAATTTAACTTTTAATATAGAAACTAATAATGCCAATAATCGACTCCTTGGCACATATACGCTTGCCCTGCATCGCATGCATAGTGTCGAGTAGAGGCGCAGAGAGTAAGTTAACCAAGAACATGTCAGTTGAGCTGAAGTCCAAGCCCTTCAAGACATCCAATAACAGAAATCGACGACTAATACACTGCAGTTCCAACTAGCTGCTTGAATACTCAGACAAGCCTCTTATATATTAGAGCCTAACAATATCAAGAACATCACCACCTCAAGTTGCTCACATGGCCATCAATTAGAGCCTCTTAGACTACTAATATGGATAGTTCCTACCTCATAATATCAAGCATGAAAATACAGTACTATTGTGAAGATCGGGCATGCCCAACAATCCATGCATTAATGAGTTACACTGCAGCATGGAGACACCAATCGTTGAATTATACGCAGTCAACTCTTTAACAGTTTAGTAGGGTATCCGCAAAAAAAGGTCCACATTGGTGTTGAGGTATACGCAGCCCTTGTTCCTTTGGACAGGTAGAGAAGGAAATTTATTAACAGCATCATATATAGTGGAAGATGACAGCCCTACATGCATGAAGTAAGAAGGAAATTGGGACTACTAGAGAATAAAGCCTAACAATGACCATCAGTGATGGCCAAG